GCAGTTTGCTGTAGTACGTCACAGAGATTGAGTAATATTAACTAGTATTTTGTACATCAGAAGTATTGAATATTGACTTTAAATATGATTTGTGTTTTGATGTTTGTATTTTCCTTACATTGAAATAGCTTCCTCTCCTGCCCTGAAAACCTAAGACATTTTTTCTGTGTAAGTAAGCAGTATAAAAGAGGTACTAGTTATAGTAGCTACATTTTACTTGGTGGCATGGTTCCTGAAAAGAGGGGTATTCCTGAGGACCTGACAGTTGGTAAATCTGGAACATGCATCACCATACTGGCTTTCTGCATTCAGGCTGAGTTCTGGTTATGCTGAAGTCTTGTCAGTTCAAGTAGTGCACAAGGAGGGCAAACACTGATCCTCTTCTCTACCTGACACTCAAAGCAAATGTAGATTGAAGAAGTGGGTGTTCAGAAATAAGCTGTGGTGTATTTAAAGTCTGATCAGAGAATATGTGTAAGTGAAAAACATGAGAGCAACCATTCTGGAGCAGATCAGAGGTCTACTTAGCTCTGTGACATGGCTCTGATGGAAACAAAAAGAAGATGCTGAAGAAAAAGGGTAAGAAGGGGGCTGGCAAGTAGAGTAGTACTTCTGGGTCTCTTCCTAGCCTCCAGCCATTTTGAGCTCGGGGGTTTCGTCTCCAACATATGATTTCTGTAGATTAGTTAGTGCTCAATGGATATTTATTCCATGAACTTGCCTGGTCTCACCTATACTCCATGTGATCTCTGCCCACAACCAAACTAATCTCATATGAGAAAATGTTACCCTTCACTTGTTCTCAAATTGCCTTTTGCTGTTTTTCCCTCATACCCCTATGTCTTTTACTGAGAGGTTGGTAAAAGAGAGAACAGTTTGAATACTCCAGGAACCTCATGACTCAAAACTTTGCTGTCATACACCTCAGCTGTTGTCTCCCCAGAATTCTAGCAGCTGTGAAGAAGCTGTTTTATAACTTTTATTTTCCTCATTGCTCTTCTCTGAAACTCTTTCAACTCTTCTGTGCCCTTTTTCAAGATGAGAACACCTGAACAACATGCAACGTTCAATGTATTAGAGAATGCCTTAGCATCATTATGCAACAGCGACATAATGATATTTTCAGTTTTATCCTTTATTCCTTTCTGAGGTATATACGACACTAATTGGATTTGCTTTTCTTACTGCTGCTAAGCTCAATTTTGATGGAACTAATAATTTTGAGACCAAGATCTTGTTCCTCAATTATCATAGTTAGCTCTGAAAAAAGATGGTATTTAGAAAAAGTTTTCCCCATGTGCATTGTTTTTCATTTTTCTTCATCATTCTCAGTCAGGTCTGTTTTCATTCCCATTCCATGTCTCCACTTTCTTTATTTTGAATATAAATCACAGAATCACAGAATGATTGAGGTTGGAAAGGACCTCCAGAGATGGTCTAGTCAAGCAGGGTCACCTCCAGCACGTCACACAGGATGGCATCCAGGTGGGTTTTGAATATCTCCAAAGAGGAGATTCCATAACCTCTCTGGGCAGCCCATTCCAGTGCTCTGTCACCCAAACCATAAAGAAGTTCTTCCTCATATGATGATGGAACCTCCTGTGGTTCAATCTATACCCATTAGCACTTGTCCTATTACTGGCCACCACTTAGAAGAGTTTGGCCCTGTCCTCTTGACATTGTCCCCCGAAGTATTTGTAGAGGTTGATAAGATCCCCACTCAATCTCCTCTACTTTAGGCTAAACAGGCCCAGCTTGCTTAGTCTTTCCTCATAAGACAAATGTGATACCTGTGTAACTTTTGGTCATTTCTTTTCTATTCTTGTGGATTGTCTCCCATTTTGGCAGCAGCAGAACATGGAAAAAATGCCAGGAAAAATACAGAAAGTAGGAAGAAAAGTAAAATGGGATACCCAGACTGGAATATTGAATAAATTAAACGGGAAAAGGCATGCAAGCTAAAAATCAGAAATAGGAGTACAATTATGTATGGATCTTCAAACAAGTATAAGAAAGAAAACTTGATGTATGTATCTGTGGAAAATTGGTGATGGCGCATGATCAGATGTGCGTCTGCCTTATAGTGAGGAGAGTTAAGGAAAAATGACAGTGAGGGTTATTATCTAGATGATTTAACTAGATGAACCTGAGCCATCTACTGATGGCAGTACAAGGGATCTTCTCCTTGCAGGATGAATGTACTAAGTTAGGAATTAAATTCAGAAAGCATTGAAAATGATATTCAACAAGAATACATATTGTTTTCATTGGAGAGTTTCTTGGCTGTAGGATTCTTTTATTCTGTTTGACACAAAGGGAAAAGATTTTATTTGGTTGCGCTATTTTCTTGATCATCTGATCCATAAGCATTTCTGGTGGAAAAAAAAAAAAAAGAAAAAGATTAATTTTTAATGCTGATAATAACATCATGGTGATTTAACGTATGGTTCAGTAAATTCAATCTTAAGCTTGGGAATTCATATTGAATGTGGTCTAAGTGGAATTTTTCAAATTGCAGAAAATATAAATGTTTCTTTCATAAAAGCAACAGTTTAAGTGACAGGTCTGTTTTGTATTTATAATTTACAAAGTACACAAAGGATTTTCAATCTTAACATTAGTTAGTTACAAAGACATTGCATGTAGGTGCTGTCTATGGTTTGTAATTATCCTCTCATAAAGCACATCTGGAGAGAAATGTTTTTACCAGACATAAACATATCAAGCATGAGAATGAATTACAGAAAACTATTGTTGAAACATTTTCAAATCAGCAAATGCTTTTTTCTCTTTCCATCTTTATTCTGAAAAGCTTTCAAAAGAAAAAAAAAAATAGATGAGTCTGGGAGGAAGGAAAAATAGAAAGAAATTTCTGTGCTAATTTATCTGAGTTAATGCTTTTTCCTGTTATGAATCTCCCTAATTGACTGAAGAAATGGAAACAAGTCTTTTAAAATTGAATATGTGGCATTAAAGCAAATGTGGCACTCAGATCTTGGGCAGCTGGGATTCTGGAGGACTAAGCATAAAGTAATAAAGCGTGCCTAAGAATGAACTTCTATAATCTTTCATCCAATGAATACTGGTGGATTATGATCATCTGAGCTAGCCAAGTGCAAGTGGTTGTGGACTGAAAGAACAGTTGCTTTTCCTACTCTTCTTTTTACTCCACTGTCTAGTCTGAAGTCATACTTTTATCTTCTGTGTGACTGGTAAATGTTGAAGTCCCTCTAAACTCCTTGTGAAACCTAGGGGAGGTCAATCAGAGGCAAGGTGAACTTGCCTAGCTGCTTCTTGATAAAAATTAGAGGTGATATATCTCTGCCAAAAGTTGACAGAAGCACTCCTGACATGCCTTTATCAGTTCACACATAATCATGTCTACCCAAGCCTTAAACTTTCCAGTTCAAAAGAGAGTGTCTAATCATATGTATAGCACTGTTTTTACCATTAGTCTAACTGGGGTGTCAGGGAATGAGCACACAATTCATTTGGCATCAGAAGCACTACCAGGCTAGGAACCTCAAGTAGTATGAGATGAAGGGACGAATGAAGTAATGACAAAGGGCGAGGAATGAGAAAAAATAGTTAAGTTCAGACCTGCTATAACGGAGAGGATCTCTCTGATTTCTGTGTAAACTTAAAGATGTTAGCTAAATATTTTGTTCTCAAAAATAATGGTGACAGTCTTAATTCTTCTTTCGTAATGCAGTGGGAGTTATAGATGTTATTAATTGTATTTCATCACTGTGGTTTGCAGCCAGAATGTTTTTATAAGATTTATTTCATAGAATCATAGAATCATAGAATATCCTGAGTTGGAAGGGACCCTTAAGGATCATCAAGTCCAACTCTTGACACCGCACAGGTCTACCCATTTAGCATGAAGAAAGGGCTATGGGGACAAAAGAAAGAGTGAGAACCTTTTCTCTAGTTCTGTTTTGTCTAAAATGTCACCATTTTTGTCTAAAATGTCACCATGAAGCAATATCTACAACAAGTACCATATTTTTCACTTTGGATCTTGATAACCTTAGATTTATATGCTCTTAGTGATACAGTGAGACAATAAGGAATTTGGATGATTGAATGTGAATTAGTGGGATTACAGAAATATAGCATATCTGAGAAGTTGTTTTAGTAAGAACAATCGCATAACCTTGTCTTATTTATAAATTTAGCTTTTATCCTTAAAGAATAATTCTTTTAAAAAAAGAGAGACCAAACTGGGGAATGTCCACTTTGTAATGGTCAGGATTTCCTAAGAACCACGGAAGCAAAGGAACATGGAAGTGTTTTTTGCTGTCTGCAGAAACTGCTGGCTGACTAACATTGTTTCTAGCTTGCTCTGATATGTGCTAGACATAAGCAAGGAGGGCAAACAGAAGAAAGTCTGTTTCGTCAGCATTTGGAATACTTGAGGAAAGATAATGAGTAGCTCAGTACTTGAAAAAGTGGTAAAATCATCGGGGAAAATTTTTCATTGCTTTGTTTTCATTTCTTGGAGATAGATTTTAGAGATGTGTCTGAGAATAGGATAAGAAAATTAGCAAAGATGGTGAGTCTGACCTCTAAAAATAGAATCTAACTTATTGTAATGTAACTTCAGAAATAGATTTATGCCATTTCACAGTTGAGAGTGTCAGTAATGTTCAGGTACTACTTGGTTTGCTGGACCAGTGAAACTATCAGGAAATATGTGATTTAAAAAAAAAATAAAAATAATAAAATGTATGAACTTTATTCTGGTGAGAACTGGATTTTTATTTATTTATTATCCCATGCTTGTAAAGCACAAGGTGTTATACAGAACAGATTTATTGTTATGTTTTCGAAACTGGTATGGATAAAAACTGTGTTGCTATTATGTGTTACCTGTGTGTTTTTCTAGAACCAAGATTTGGCCTGCATAAGTTAGCTGAATTCACTATCATGATTCAGTTTAAAAGACAGATTAAGTTAGAGCCTCAGTTTAAACAAACCTTTTATTTTCTTCCTAGGTGAAATGGAAATTCCAGATTCAAATGACCCCTTAGGTCATGTGGATGGACTTGAGAGACCAATTCCAACACCTAAAGGTAAAATTAACTATAGTTCCTTTTTTTTTTTTTTTTTTTCCCCCTCAAATTATAAACATACTTTATAAAGCACCAAAAAAACCCTGTTATGTTTTTACTTATCTGTATATACATCTCTGTAAGAACGGCAGCCTTGCATGTCTTCATATTTCTGATGCTAAGTAAGAACAGTGAGGTTACAGGAGTCTGTAAAAAATATTTTTTAAGCATTTTCTTAAGGCTTGCACTGAGGGATTATATGATTGACCCAAACATATGGTTATTACTACCTTCCTGCTATATTGTTCGTCAGGTAGGTGCCATGAATATGATCTGATTTTGTACAGTACCACGCTTGGCATTTATAGGTAAATTTAAAGATCTCTCTGAATATCTTTATCTTGAGATAACTAAATCTAACCTCTTTAATTTATTCTTCTGCGGCAACACAAGCGTACTTACAATTTAAGGATCTCTGAGCATTAGCGATATATTTTTTTTTTTTAACAGACTGGAATAACAGAATTTATAATAAATTGTTGTTTAACGTAAATTTGTATTATACTTTATTACTTAAAGTGTAGATCCAAATGCTCTGACCTGTAAATATTCTCCTTTATGTATGCTTTATGTATCCTTTTTGTATCATAATCACAGATTTACTGCAAATTTTGATTCCAAATAAATAGCGTAATTTCATAAAACAGAGCACTTTCAGTATTTTGCCTGAAGAAACACACGCTTTCTAACTTATAGTACAGATTTTTTCTTCTTATGGATCCAACTGCTATATAAAGACTGAGGCAAAGAAGACATTCGGTACTTCAGCATTTTCTCTGTCATGTGTAACCAGGCCTGCCACCTTGTTCAACAATGGGCCCACATTTTCCCTAGTCTCTCTTTTGTCACTGATGTACTTATTGAAGCCTCTTTTGCTCTCTTCGACATCCCTGGACAGATTCAATTCCATTTGGGATTTAGCTTTTGGAATTTAATTCCCTGATAATCTCTAAGTATAAGAATTATTTTATACTTTCTGGTGTTTTTTTGTTTGTTTGTTTGTTTGTTTTTTCCCCCACCCCCCTCCATATGTCAACCTTTGTACTAGAAAAAAAATGCCTCTCTGACTTACCATTAGCAGTCTTAGCAAGATGAGAACATGTTGTAATCTACCAAGCTCTGAGATGCTGGCCAGATATTTTTCTCAGAACTTCTTTTTCAGAGATCTCAAATTTTGAGGGGACTGTGGAATACAGTCACTGTATGCTGTCATAGATATCCGATATTAAATAATTCTTTTTTATTGTGCTTCATCTGAAAGTTAGATTTCTTACCTTGCTTGTGCTTATTGGAAGATTTTTCAGAATCTTCTGTTAATCATCTATTAATTTCTATGCTTAATTGGATAGAAAAATGACATGGCTACCTTTCAGAGAAATATAGATAAACACAGAAGAAACTGAAGGATTTTCTAATCAGGATCTGGTCATTGATGTGAGATACTCTGTTCCTCCCATTTGAGGGCAAACTCAGGACATTCTTCTTCCCAACCTTTTTTTAATTGCTTAAGTTCCCAATTTATTTTAGAGGATTAAACTTTGTCTTCCATTACAGGAATAATTTAAATAACTGTCATTTGTGTCAGCCACACAGTATGCCAGAGTTGTGTTATCTCCTCCACACTCCAGTACCCAATGCTTTTGAAGGGAAAAAGTCAATGTTAATCTTTAACTGCAATTGACAGACTTGTAGAATGGGACCATCTTACCAATTAAACTCTTTTGTTATGTCTGAATTTTAAGGATGCAGATATAAAAGAAAATGCTCCTGGAGCAAAGGAGTTGTAGTTATTTCCTTTTCCTTTTTTTTTTTTTTTTTTTTTTTTTTTTTTTTTCTTCCAGAGCCACAGGCAATACCTGTCTGAGGAAGTAATTAATCACATCTCAAATGTTTCTACGTCATAAGGATTTTTATTTTCTTCAGAGAAAAAAAAAAAAGAGACCCTTGTTCTTATATGACTCATTGGTATAGAATCAGTTGCTAGTTTCTAACATGTCTGGTCTGGAAATGGCCTCATTTTGCTCCTCTTATTTTTGTGGCAACAAAATTCTCAAACAAGCAAAAATCCATTGGCTGAAACATTTTGTGTCTTTGGTTTGAATGTTAACACAAGTTAACCCTTGTGTTTCTGTATCATAACGAGGCAACAGTTTTTATTCCAAAAATCATTGCACAGTTGTATTTTGGAAATTTGTGTGTACCATGAGAAAAATAGAGCCCTTAACTTCTTCCACCACATTGGCCTTCATTGAGGAATGTTTAGTTACACTAATCTGTGACCTTTATTTTTTTTTTTCTCTTAGTAGAATTGACACAATGTAGGCCTGAAAATAATAGTAAACAAGCTTCAGTATTGCCAAGGTTAGATCCACTGCAGAACTGTGTAGTTCACTTTTGTCCTCAGAATACTCCAGAAACCCTGAAAAATGTTTCTGTCTCCAGAAGTAACCAGGTTAAGCAAGATATTATTAATAATATACAACTTTTAAAGTTGTATGTCTGTTCATTCAAGTGAAACTAGCCTTCTAGTTCTGAACAGACTTAATTTCACTCTGACAGCAGCTTCTGAAAGTTGATGGGATAGGACCATGACTCAGCCATCAAGGAGAATTTATCTACCAGTAAATTTACTGAATAACAAGGAGAATTTACCCACCTGTTTCCTTTAAGTGAACACCTGAACTGCTACCAAAAGAGCACTGTCTCTGAGCAATGTTTTTCTGGAACCAGAACATAACACTGAGCTTTTGCTGTAGGATAACTTAGGTCTTCTGGAGGTCTTTTGGGTGTGTTGGAATGATAAATAAAAAAATCTCTTCCCAGTCCAATGAGTTCCACCAAGTAGGACACAGTCTAAGTAAGACATCTGGGCTTCATCCCTCTAAGTGCGAGAAAGTACTGCTCAAAAATAGGTTTCCTTCTGCTAATAGGAGAGCATAAGCCCATTGATTTAAGTGTGAGGGACAACATTCAGACTATGGCAATATTTCAGTGGCAATTCTTTATTCCCAAATTGGCTGTAATTTGTTCCAAAGTATATCTGAAGTATCCAGATGCTTGTGTATGTGATCCAAAGTCTATGTGATCCAAAGCATTTTATTTTACATGTTTGTGGATGCGTTTTTGTACAGTGAGATCAAATCATAAAAGGAAAATGGGGTGCAAATGATGGAATTAAATTAGGCTGTAAAGGTATCAGTTCATCTGGAAACATTATGTGGCAATGTATAACTCAACTTAGTCTCCTTAACTACTCCTGTATTTTAGGAGAGCTGCCAAACTTCTCTTGCATTTCCTAACATGGATTCAATATATTGCTATGGATTGCTCGTCTTTGTACTGGAGTTAAAGGGCAAAGAATTGAGAAGACTGCTTCACATTTAGGAAAACAATCTGTGCAAGAAATGAGGAGCCTTGACTTCTCCACCCTCTCCTTATTAGAGTGGTGCTTCTCAGTGTATTTCCAGTCCTGATTTATATGTGGAAGGAGCAACTTTACTGGACTGTCACCATCTACTGAGGTGCAGTGGTATGATACATGTCCCCTAAGCTCTTATACTTTCAGCAGTGTTGCTGTACAAAACTCCAGAAAGAAGTGCTTTATATTTCAGCAACTTTCATCTTTCATATCTCTTATGACAGTGTTCTGATCTTAGATAAGCTCAGAACACTCCACAACACTTTGATATTTTTATAGATTACCTGTCAATTCTTTGAATACTTTATAGTCTTTTACTGTATTCATAACGGTACCTTCGGGAGTAGTGTCATCTTTCTCAAGTCATTTCTTTTACCTGTAAAATTAGAGCACTGTTAACATTACGCTATTCCATAACATAAAGTATGTTTTTTAAGTCAAAAATATGTCTTATTATTGAAAATAGTGAATTAGCTCCTAATGATAAACATGATTACTTTATATATATATATATTTTGTGTTGGATGTAAAGTATTATTAACCTTGAAAGAAAATGCCATCACAAAAGGTTGCCAGTTGAAGCTGAGGCAAGAGAGCCTATGTTATTTTTTTTACAGCCTACAAAAATAACTAGGAGTTATTTGAAGACAAAAATGAGAATTGTAGAGAGGTAGAAACAAAGAAAAAGCAAGGAGTTGAAGGAATGATAATCCCACATTGCTATTTAAGCAAATGATGTTATATATTTTTCTAATGGTTTTGAAAACTGGGAAGTCCTACAAGATGAACCAAAAAAGGCTTTGAATTAGATCAGTTTTGCAGAAAATAAAATTTGCTTTTTTATATAGAAAAAAAGTTGATTTTAAATGTTTAGTATTTTAAGCGAATGCTGTTGCAACTTATGATATGTTATATAATACTGAAGAGATGGATTTATGCTTTTTTTCCAACCGTTGCATTTAAAATTATTTAAGCGCATATATGTCTTATCAGAGAACATGCATTTTAAAAGGTGATAATATATATATATGTGATTATTATAATTTGCTCTGAAGATATTGTTTTATGTTTAGGTATCTAGCACTTTATGATTCAGACTTTCCATTCTTTCAGAAACTGGATATGTGAACTTGGAATAGTATTGTACAAATAACTACTTAGGCCATGTGTAAATTTGGCAAGTCACTTAAACTCTCCTTGCTTTACTTTCTACATTTGGAAAGAAACACTGATGATATCTTCCTATTTCCTAAGACTTAAGTATTCTTAGTGATTAAGAATTTTTGAAATAAATAGCTGCAAGTTTTTGATAATTGCTACTCATGGAGGTGATCATGATGATAGTTTGAAAATTAGTTATGCTTGGTTATTTATAAAATCAGTATAGGGAAAATGAGCAGCAACTAACAAAAATGGAAATCAAAACTCTAATCAAAAGCATCTATGCCAGAATTAATTTGATTCAAAGTAGCTATAGAGATTTAGAGAGATTTTTTAGAACAAAATCCAAAATCACAGCTAAGATCTTAAAATAACAGAAACAGAGAATGATCATTTTGTATCGTGTTTATGACAAGCATGCCACATATGGTTTGAGACAATAGCTATGACATCTAAGTCTCAGAATAATATAAATAAAAAGAAGAAAAAATAGTATGGATGTGGGGTTTCTGTGATAGTTACTTTCTTTATGTTTTTAGCTTAAAATGTGTCTTTGTGCATATAAAAACAATTAGACATTCGTACCGTATGTGGGAAAAGTTTATTTTTATATTCCTGCCAAAACATGCAAAATAGTCCTGTCATCTTAATTTTGATTTGCTGTGGAATTCTGTTTGATATATTTCTATCAAATGTACTTCATGTTAAAATATGAAGTACTGGCAACGTAACAAAGACATTTCAAAATACAAAAGAGTTCTCTAGCATTCATGTCAGTCATTTCCCTAAGATACTTTATTCACAGGATACATACAGTATGGTAGTATAACATCTTATGTAGATTAAGTTGTATCATTCTCTCATAGCTTCTTGACAGAACAGTTTTTACTCCATTCAAGGAAAACAACTATTAGTAACGGTTGTACACTATGTTAGTAACCATAATAAAAGAGAAATTTAATTTAGAGTGCCTTTGCCTACAGCAAATGCAGAGACATCCATCAGATATCTTTTCCTTTTGTAGTACTTCGAGCATTTTGATAACCAAGCCAGAGACCACTGAAAGCAAAGGAAACATTTTCCTTCATTTTCATGAACTTTGGAACAAAGCCAGAGTACAGAAAAGACTGTATATAAAACCAGTTTTTCTGTAACACAGAAAACTGCTGGCCATTATACTTGGATTTTTATGTTTTTAAATGTGTTTGAATACCTATATTCCAAAGGAAATAGAATTGTTTCTAACATGACATTTACGAGTTTAGTGATGCTTGTTTTGCACATAGCAAGCCCAAACCATTTTATAGAGAATATTTATTCTTTGTTTCATAGATATTTCACTATTAAAACAGACAAATAAATCTGTTTAGGTTTTAAAAATCTCTAGTTGTCTGTTACAGAACAAAGAATATAGAACACATATTAAATAAAATATAAGTCCTAGTGTTATCATGTTTCATTTTCCTCTGTACTTGTCCAAATGAATGTTTACTTATTAAGAGAGAGAGTTACATTGAAAAAGTTTGCTTTTAATGTTTTTAGGATACCATTTTAGTCTGGGAACCAGTTTGTTTTTTCTCCAAATCATTGTATCAAGCTGGCATACACACAATATTTGTGGTGTGCCGTACATCACAAAAAGTAACTGCTAATTATCACCACAGAAATTAAATAAGGAAAATGTTCTTAAGAATATGGTTGGTAAAATTTTCCACTTTGTTTGAAAGATTTGTAATTTGGGGTTGTCTAAATTGGATACCAAATAACAGGGCAGTATATGAAATGCTGCCCACTCTTCCATACAATCACTTCAGATTCAATAAGTATATAAATCCCAGACTTCAGCATTATTTCTCAAAGAGAAAATGAACCTAGCAAGCAGAGTGTACACTTCAGGGTACTTTCATAAGCAGTGGATAGGCCTTCATGTTGCCCTTAATGCACCTAAGCTTTTCCACAGAACTTTGAAGAAAACAGGAGTGCTTCAAAGTTCGGTAGGTTAAAATATTTATTACTTGATTTGTAATAACAGGGTAATTTAAAACACTGCACAAAACAAAATTGGCAGGAGGAGTAATGAACTAAAGCCAAATTTTGACCTGCAGGAAATGGATTCAGTTACACTGACTTCAGGGGAAGTGCATCTAATCACACTGGGTCTGAATTAGTCCATAAATCTTTGGCATTGCTTTTAGTGGTAATAGTTTTGTTCTCATTATTAATGGGATCTGATTCATAAATTCATATGAAATATTTTGTTTTAAAAGCTATAGACCAAATTGCTTCCCATAGTAATTTTAGTTTAATTGGAATAACAGAAAGGTGTAATGTGGATTTAGTCTTGAATTAATAAAAATTCTTGATCTTAATAAGTAAATTTAACATCTATTTTCAGCTGAATTAATTTAAATATAATATCCATAGCTAACCTCAGCTGAAGACTCAACCCAGGTCATTTTAAGTCAGGAAAAGTGAAATAGAGATAAGTGGTTAAGCAAGCTATAAGATGGCCAATGATGCAAAAGCTGACAAATAGCTCAAGAATGTTGTAGGCTTCTCACATTCCTCTGTGTTAAGGACAAAAATTGTACTGCAAAACCACAGTGACTGTCAGCTTACAGCACCTGAATTGGCCCCATAATTATGGAAAGCATCCTCTCTGCCTCTCTCGCTTCATAGGAATCAGGAGATCAGGAGCAGCTCTGAGCTAAGTGACTACCTCTGTGCTGGCTCCATGTTGGAAGTGGTCAAGCCTCTCGTCCAAAAGGTTCTTAAAACTCCTTCAACTCCCTTGTATGGGAGACACCCTGGCAGACACAGTTTATTCAGGCCACCCTGGGAGACACAGTACTGCTCATTTGAGTTGGTGCTCTCATGGCCCTATGTTGTGGCTCTGGTCTTCCACCAAACAACTTACTGTCACTGACATGACTGGATGTCATTGCACTTCCTCAGTGTCCCACCCCCTCTTTTTTTTTTCTTTTTTTTTTTTTTTTTAAGAATTAGTTGATTGTTTTTCTATTTACTTCTCCGCTTCTTTTCATAAATTGCTTCTTCTAACTCAATTGTTTTTTATTGACTATGGCAACTCTTTTTCAAACATATTTCAAATTAATGCAAACTGATTTATCTTCTTGCCTGTATACTCTGCCTCAACTTTCACAGTTTGAAAATAAGCTACATAAGGATTATGAAAAAGTAGCAAAATAAATATTTATATTCTTTAAATAATGAGTAAAAGTGAAACAGGCATGGAAATTCCTTTTCTTCTTGGGGGAGGGGGGGATGGACGACGGGACAGGACCTTGCTTACATTCTTTCTTACAGTAATTTGATTTTCCGTTACCTGCCAGAATGTCATCCTCGTTATTCCAACTCTGCAGCTGTGAAATGTAACCGTAAGTGACAAGAAATCCTAAACAAGACCCAGCAGAAAGCATTCATATATCTCCTCCACATTTTCTTCTTTTTTTTTTTTTTTTTTAAACAAAATGTTTTAATATGTTTTGTGTTCTGTCAAAATGTTTTAAAGACCACTAAGGAATAGTAGGCTAACAATAGGGAAAATTAATGTAAGATTGCAGACAGAATAATTTATCATTTTATAAGCAAAATGATAACAAACTAAATTTTCTTAAGTTTGTAATGTTATGTAGAGATTATGTATTTAGATTTTACTTCATTTTCTGTTTACTGACATACTAAATTCACACTTGCCTACATTGTATTTTCATACTGGAAAACAGGAATTCTTTTGAAATGCCAGTTGTATAGAACAATGCAATACTTGGTAAAACCCATTTTTTCAGCAAAATTTGGTTTTCTAAATTCTTTGTATTCTGATGTTTCTACTGCTACTTGTTTCTTTTCCAGTGTTACCCCTAGCCATTAGAGAGGAACTGATTTTCATGGTTATGTCAAATGTAAATCAAAGCAGAGCATCAATTTTCTTAAAGGTATTTCAGGAATTAGACTGAGAATGTTGAGTGCTACATTCTGGTGTTAGATTCCTGTACAGTGATATGCTATTTCCTAATTAGACAATTGAAAAATAATCTAACTGATAGGAAATAGCACATATGGACATGCGTCAAAGTTACTTTTTTATTTGGATCTAACTGACACAAAAGTGAAGTGCAATATGAAGTATACGTAATGCTCGGCATCTAGATAAATTCGTGAAAGGAAACATGAACATGACAGATGAATACTTTTCTCACTTGTTTTGACAATCTCATTATTATTTCAGTGGAATTGAATGCTTTCAATGTGTGATGCACTTCAGTTGCAGGACTTCTAATGCCAAAACAAATTTTAAAGCAATAAGCTACAGAATTTATGATTATCATTTTTTTCACATTGTTCTTCTGTCAATTATTCCATTTATCACTTGAGATCACCAATACAGCATACAGCCCTCTTGACAAGCCCTTTGCTTTCAGCAAACAAGTTAGTGATTTTAGTTTTCATTTATAAAATTAAAATCCACAATATCTGTTTACTCAATATACATACAAACTTTTCTTTGTCCATTTTAGCACTATTTTGGGACTTGAAAAAAAAAAAAGGGCAGCCTATTGTCAATTTAAAAATGTATCTTCAAAGTAGGTGAAAGGAGATAGAAATGTAATGGTATTAACTCATATTTGACCTGCATAGTTACCTGCAGACAAACCTGAAGTCAATCACAAAAGACAAATTGGAGTGTGACGCTATTCTTTATCTAGGACAGTGAACTGTATATTTATTTGTTTATCTGTTTGTATATCCTTGAAAGAAAGCTGAAACTGTTTCCAAGATCCATTCATAAAAATATGCCTGTGGGTAGTCTTTTATCCCAACTCATGTGAAGGTTGATCTTTTCTGACCTCTTACCCTTACAGGTTACTTTCTGACCTTTTTGGAACCAGTAAACAATATCACTGTAGTCCAGGGGCAAACAGCAATCCTCCACTGCAAGGTAGCAGGAAATCCATCTCCAAATGTCAGATGGCTAAAAAATGATGCTCCTGTGGTGCAGGAGCCAAGACGTATCATCATAAGAAAAACAGATTATGGTTCACGTCTGAGAATCCAGGATCTCGATACCACGGATACAGGATACTACCAGTGTGTGGCTTCCAATGGGATGAAGACGATAACTGCAACAGGAGTGTTGTTTGTAAGGCTTGGTGAGTTCCTGGCTTATATAATTGCTCAGACTACTTTATTGGCTAGGTATTAGTTTTCACAATAGCTTAATGAGAAATGAATATGATGTTTTAAGAATTCTCAGCAATGAAAAGAAATAAATAAAGCCATTGCCAGGGGCCTCTCCCCCATCGCAGAACGTCATGGTTGAACTCGATACCCATTCACCAGTAATAAAAGAAAGTAAATACAGATGGAAAAGTCTGTAAATATGTAGCAAAGAAAAAATTTTAAGTGCCAGAGTAATGTATGAAACGGTAACATTTCATTGCCTGAAGTTTTCACTTTAATGCTGAGCACAGATCACTTAAAAACAACAACAACAACAAAAAAAAAAAAACAACAAAAAAAAGAAATTAAAAAAAAAAACTGCTTCTCTTCAGTGTTGGTTTTTGTTTCCTTGTGATGCTCAATAGCACTGTACCTATCTTTGTGAAATACCATGTTGGTACTGCTACTTGAAAACTGGCCTCAAAGTCTGCCCTTTGAGAACAGACCTACTGCATCTAACTACACTTTCAAAAAGTACTTTTGTTGTTTTTTGAAGACTTGATCATTCAGTTTGCTAGCAAAGCTTTTATTTATTTGTTTTGCTTGTAAGTGTTTCTGATGTAGTGAAAAAATAATTCAAGACATTTTCCTAAAATGTCTTCCAGTTTTATAATGATAATAACTAACTCCACAGTTTGTTTGTGGTGATTCATTAAGTGCTGGCTATCAGACCTTGTTCCCGTTGTGAGAAAGGTTAAGGGCATACCCTTGTCATACCATAAACTCTGATAGTAAGGCTCAGGTGAGGCTTAGTAAGAGGTAAGCGATGTGTCAAGATAACACATTGTCTTTTTAACAGCCTATATTTTTATGGCAGCAGATATTTTCCAACAAAAAATAAGTCCACTCAAGTTGCTGCCTGAACAGACAGAAAGAAGATTCATGTGATTTTTATTTGTGGTCTTGAAAATAGCAATATGTAATTATGTGCAGGAACCCAGAGGCTTTAGTTTGAATCTTAAGACAAACCCTCCTTAAAGAGACAGTTTGCTTTAGGTTGCTTTATTTTTATTTTTATGCCATTGTCCTTGAGCCAAACTTGCCAGCAATGTTTGTTTGTTTTATGTTTGCAGGTCCAACAAACAGCCCAAATCACAATCTTCAGTAAGTACATTTTGGAAAATTATTTAATGCACTCTGACCAATTTTGCTCTGTAAGAATTTGGTTCATAAACTCAGTAAACACTGCCTGCAACCACAGTATGTTTACTAAAAATATCTAATATGACTGAAATCTCACAGAATGACTGAAACCGTTTCTGACAGGAATAGCATTGTGTTACTGTGGGTTTGGGTTTGATCAAATATTCTCAAACAACTTCTTCTTGCTTATTTCATGTTTAGGACAATGAAAATACCACAGAGTCATGATGTTTGAACACTAATTGTTTACAGGGCATGCATGGGCTGGATGAGCAGTTGAAAATGAACGGGTAAAATGCTTAGGTTGCTGTGGTTGTAAATTTATCCATGTTATACTATTATAGTTTGAAAAGTCAGATAAAACAAAACTAGAATCCTCTCTTTGCGCAGTTAGATAACCTCTATTTGTTAGTGTCATTTTGACTTTAGTAGTTACTGGCTGATTTTTCATAGTTGTGCTTAGTTGTTCACTTGCAGATCTAATCTCATCTTTATGACTGGCTCAGCTCTATGTATCCTGCTTTATCTATTAGTTTTAATTTAAATAATACATATTGTGTATTCTTAAGATAGATTCTGCAGCATATCAATTAATGGCATATGGAATGCAACAAGGCCTTTTTATGCGTTAATTTCATAAAGTTACAGTTGGAATTAAGTAATTAAAAATAAGGATAAAAGAGAATTTGTAAAGATGCATGGATGTTTTTTAAGACATACATAACTGGTCAGTGCTTGAGACCACTGAACTGCCTTGAGTGGAAATTCCTTAAATTGCTGCAGTGGACTGACCACCACAGCACCCATTTTATAGATACTTTACTCAATAATCTTACGTGTATAAAAATAATAACACATAGTACACATTCTTGTACTTTATATATGCACAGAATGTGCAAATTAATTTAAAGGATTTCAGCATTGTAAAGATTTCACAACGTTTAATATTTTTCTTAAAATTGATTGCTAACGATTGAGGATTAAAAACAGCTGTTCAAGACAGCATACAAAAAAAAGTAATAATTTCTGGAACCACTGAAATCCTACTTAAGATTATACAGCACTTTAAAAAACTGTTATGCACCTGCTCTACAAAAGGTAAAATAGTGAGATGCCAGGAAGCCATCCAATCTTTTACAGGTTTGGAAAGCAGAGACTGGTACAAGAGAGAAACTAAAATATGCATAGTGAAGCACTGAACTGAAGTTCAAAAACAGTTCTTGGACACAGTTGAAGAGTAGTGAGATCTCAGAATAAGGTGAAAGGCTGGGAACCAGGTTTTACTTTGATTCCTGTTGTGTTATTAAGCAAATAATTAATATTATTTCTTTTGGTTTCTCTAATACTGTATCATTCGACCTCTTTTCCTGCACTGAGCATTGCCTTGTTACTATTTTACATATATCAACATAATTTAAAAACTAAAACACACACTGTTAAAATGAAAAATTAAAATAAAATATGAGACACAGAATTCTTGGTTTTGTGCCCACTAAAAGGATAAGTGGATTAATGTTTCTTAGATATCTTTAATTCTTGCTTTACCTAGCTTTTGAACACTGTTATTTAACCTTCACTAGTTTTCAACTATATGTTAAAATAAAGGAATAAACAACTTTATTTCATATGATTCTGGAACTGTCTTGGGATTAGGACACCCCTAAATTGGTCCTGTACCAATGGTACAAGGGGTGAACCTGGAAGTAGTAGCTTTCCATCATCTTTTTGGGCTTGCCATTGGAAATGTAATGAAGAGTACAGTACTGGTAGATTATTTATTTATTTATTTTGCATATCTGTTAGGTTGAAGAGAAAGCTGAAACTTGAGAAAAGCAGTCAGAGATCAAAGGTCAAGAGAGAAATCTTGAGGGACTTGGCAATGGAAGTCCAGGAACTTTGGGGGATTACAGATTTTTGCCTCATTTAATACCTGCCCCTATTTAAATTATTTGCACCTTTCTGCATAATCAGGTTTTGTCCACCTTTCCAAAATCCTTATCCTCCTTTTATATTACTTTTTGTTCCCTTTTTTTTTTTTCAATTCCCATGTTCGCCAACTCCTGCCTAGTGCTGCAAACAAAATGCTATAATTTGACAGTGTTATTTTTCCTCTTCTCAGAAACTATGCTATCATTATTGCTGTTGTTTCTAATGAATATTTGGTATAACATTGTGCAGGTCAACTTGTAAGCCAGAATCAAGTAAAAGGGAAAAAGATGAATGAAATACCAAACTGCTTGGAAGGGGCTGGTGTGGAACAAAGGGCTCTTTCTGTTTGCTGGCTGTGCAGCACAGTCTTGTGTTGAACCACCTGAGTTCCGTTTCTCCTGGCATTAATGCTTCCAAAGAGACATGCTTCAGTGAAAGTACTGAAACCTAAAACCATTGTATCTTGTTTTAAAACTATACCTAATGAATTATTAAGGGATAAAAAACTTTACCTATACAGATAACATCTAGCAAGGTATTTTTATATAATCCATGTGTTCTGCTGTGGATTTTTAAAAGCTATCTAGCAACTAAGAATTGCTGCAGATCAAATGTGCATTATGCAGCTGGATTCGCCAGTGCAAAAAAGGGCCTTGACTGTCCGCTAGTGATGTTGAAAGATTTTTGTACTTTATTACTTCATTTATCAAAAGTATTAAAATTACTGAAAGTATTAATAGCTACTACAAATTAAGTTATAAATGAAATAAAATCGAAACACTACCAAAAAACTAGGCTCTGTCCAAAGGGACATGCTACTAGAGGACATTTCTACCACGGGACGAGACAGCAGGGTGAATCCTTTCTCTCCCTGCGTAACATGTTCATATTTTGTATCATTAACATTATTCACTTTTTCCCTTGTGAAGAGAGATGTCCTGTCCATTCAGAAAGGTATGAATGAGAGGACATAAAATAATTGGGTAGTAAATACCAGAGAATGGTACTTTAGAATAGTTTACAATTAGGCAATGAATGTTAATCTCTTGAATTCTGAGGGTAGGAAAGCAGAAACAGCTGCCTTTCCTTCCAGAGATACTGCTCTTACAAGATAATGTCATTTTAAAGAGACTGTGTTCTCTAGTTTAAGTTATTTTTCTATTGAATTGAATAGTTAGATTGAATTTTATCCATTAGGCAAATTCCTGATTTGAAGCCGAGTTTCCTCACATAGGCCATGACTGTAGTGGAACCACCCTGAAGGGGATTTGGGATAGAAGATACCTAACAGTCTGTTGGCTCTAAGGTCCTCTGGAAAATCTGATAAGATTTCAGGGAACTAGGCTTTCTAAGTATGAAAATTCACTTTTTTTTCTTTATTGAACACTGAGATCGGTTCTGAATTTTCAGTTACCAGTGTCTGTATGCTGAATACTTATAAAGAGAAATAGGTGGGAAGAAATAGAGTCATCAATTAGAAGTTGCTATTAGTTCAAGGGAGGAATTTTTTAGGTACTAACCATTCAGAACAACCTTGCATTGCTCACATGCCTTGTTTTATTCATGTAGTCTGGGACAATAATTAGAATTTTAAAATTCAGTCCACTGAAGAAAAATGTGAAAAGAAGTGTAGTCGAGAAAAAAATAGGTCTTTCAAATGATGAAAAATAAAAGGTTTTTAAAAACTAGGAACATCTGAGTTAAAACCCTGCTGAGGTATCCCAAGGCTAGTGTATGCAGTTTATTCTCTGTGGTTCTGCATATCCTACCACTTTTATTACGTAACTAAAGCACACACCTGCTGTGACCCCAACAGTGACCTTCTGCATGATATGACAGGTAGTACTACAGTCTTGTGGTGGGTGCAAGTATGTTTTATAATGTGACAAATTTATATGTAACTATAAATTGGAAAAGGGACTATGAACCTTGAGAAAGAGGATGGAAGGGAGTGGGTCATCACTGCACTTCACACCGGTGCCACCTCCTTGCCCATGCCTGGGGTCTTCCAGAAAAAAGACAGTAGCTGTAGGCAAAAATAATTATGTTAGCTGGATCTGTCTGGGAATCTAAAGGTACCCACTTTAGAAAAGGAAGAATACTTTCCTTATAATTGAACAGCACCAGCACCACTCCTTCCTTTTCTTTGAGTGGCAAAAACTCTTTTCTAGTCTCAGTGCAGTTCACACACTAATAGCATTTTTAATCTTGTAAATCATGTGAGATTTTTCTTAAAATTCACATAAACAGATGTTTTAATACCTAATACAAGGTTATTTCAACTCAGAATTTACAGTGTTTATTCAGGTCCATTAGGACCAGGTGTTCAAAGACGGGCTTCCTCCAGAATGACATGCATGCCTCTTGTTTCAGCAAAATATACACTTGGAAGAGATGTCCATATTTGAGGTCTATATGTTTTTCTATTATATTTGTGGTAACATCTTGAAGTTACAGAATAAGCACATACTTTGTGTTCTGCTTTCCTGTTTTAATCAAGGAAGAAGAAGGATATTGTGATTAAAACACTGGACTGTAATTTTAGAGGTCTGGATTTAATTTCTGGCCGTGCTCCTGTCTCCATATGTGATTGCAGCAAGTTGTTTAACCTTTGTCTCTCCATTTCTTGTACATCAAATGGAGATGGGCAATCTTGGGAATTCTGTGCTTTCCACTATTTATGTGATCAGATCACTTCAAAACATTTAGGGTGCATTCTATGCCCCAAAAGCAAGGAATGTTACTCCTATTTTGCAAATGAGGAACCAAGGCACAGTTTATTTCAGGCTGGTCTACATTAAACAGCATGTGTTTGCCTTGGCAGATTTCCTGGCTTCCTGACAATCCAATTTGGGGATCTGGCTGGAACATGCTGCAGTTCCTTTCTAGCCCCAGTGTGTCAGTTTCCTTTTTAATTTCAAGGTTGGAGGGGAGGCTATATTTCACCCTGGTGTGGTGTTAGGACTCTTATCAGGGAATTTTGATCCACTGTCTCAGATCTGCTACTTGGCCCATCAGTTTAAATGTTCTTT